TGTGTGTGTGTGTGTGTGTGTGTGTGTGTGTGTGTGTGTGTGTGTGTAACCTGCATTCACTATACGGAGGAATGAAGAATGGCATCGTAAACTTTTCAGGTAGATGGGTGGAACTGGGAAAGATTGTTTTGAATGAGTTGACTGAGACCCAGAAAGTATAGAGGCTCCTAACTAACAATCTTCAGATGGACACATATAACCTGGAGTAACCACAGAGGTCAGAAAGGTACTAAAGGAAACATGAGGTTGGGGAGAAGCACTAGAGAAGGAAATAGCAAGGCAAGCATTATTTAATATAAAAAAATAGGAAAAATGAAGGGAGGGTAGTTGGGATGGGAAAAGAGCTCAACACAGAAGGAAGGAGAGGAAGGAGGGTGAAATAAAGTGAACATGGCTAAAAAAGTTATAAGGAATCATATTAGTATCTATTTACCTAAAATAGCATAGAATGCATAATAATAAAAATATGTATATACATACACACATGTAGTTTAAATTAAACTATTTGGGCTGACAATGCTTCCCCAAGAGCTGCAGACAGCTAACAAAATCCTCAATATCAGTCATGATAATCCCTCATTTAAGCTGTTAGTGGGGAAATTCAAAAAGACTCCTAAAACATTATAGACTCTTATTCTTTAACTATTATTCTTCACCACAAGTTCTCAGTGAGTCCCTATTGTTGATGACACGATGCATTTTGACCAGATGATCCAGAGGATGCCATCTTGATCTGAATTGAAGTGTTCCTCCTTGATGAGAGGAGACAAGCAGACAATTATCCTTCCCAGCTATGCTGCCTATAAACTACAGTGGCCAATATTGTACTAAAATCTAAGGTTGCAATAGTGGTACTCATATTTTGGTGGCAACCAATAGCTCTCAAATTGGACACAAGAAATAACTCAACAAGAGAAAAATCTTGCCTGGTTCTGGAAACCTAGCCAAAGTATGCAGGACTAGTGAGGTTATAGATCTTGGAGGTGAGCCTGTAACTGCCGTCTTACACAGCCCAATCCCTAATTACATTCTAAATATCAACCATTGTTCCCAGGGATAAGTATATTTTTCTGTCCTCATCGAACACTTTCTTCTTTTCAAAAGACAGAGAACCATTCAGAAAACTACAACCAATCAAAATGCAAAGAACAAGTGATCATGCAGTTCTGCCTGAACTGATCCATGTGCCTACAGCTCAGGGAACACTGGGGAACCGGGCACAGAAAAAGTCTAAGCGCCAGAGGAACGGGAAGGTTTCTGTGAGATTGCATCTCCTAAACATGGCACGGAATACATACCTAAGAATTTTCAAGGTCATGGTTGCCTAAACAAGACCTGAACATTGATGCACCAGTAGAATGCTATCCTGGAAAAAGGAAATCTGGTAGAGCTTCAAATCTAGACAGAGAAGTACAGGCACCTGAGAAATGCCAACAAGAGAAGCAGTCTTACCAAAGGAAGAGCACTCCAATCTGATATTGAACACCATGGGGCAAGCCCTGAAATCATACACATACAAATTGCATCATATGATCTGAGCAGGTTGTATCTATATTTAGGAATCTATAGGTAACAGCAATTAAAGCAAAAGCAGGCAGAGACAATGAGTTTGGGTGAGAAATGATTGTTATGTAGAAGAGAATGAGATAAGAGAAAGAAAATGGGTAAATTAAGTAATTTTATTTTAATTAAAACTATTTTTAAGAAAGAGCAGTAAGTAGTACAAGACACAAGTTTCCAATCTACAGAAGACACAGATACACATATTTACAATACAATCAAAGAATAATATATTGTGAGCTGGATGATCTTGGGAAGTAAAAGACTGACATGCGGGAACCTTGGATAAAACTTTATAAAGAAGGTAGAGATGGGTCTGGAGGTGGAAGGAGAGAATAAATATCTCTCACCTGCAAATCTCATAGGGACACTTATCATATTATTTTATTTAAAAGGTGTATATTTTCTTTTACCCCTTTTGATTATGAAAAGTGAAAAGATGGGGAACACTTCATTGCCTGTTTAGATTTATTAGTCTTAACCATTGGATAAATTCATGAACATATAAATTATTTGAAAATTAATGGAACATAATATTCAGGGTAAAAAGCCCATATGCCTGAACATCCTGATTCATCCTGGTATTCCATCACTCATCATTCTAAACTCCTTCTTCAGTTGCCATATTGGAGCAGATCCTGCATAGTGTTTTGTTGAAGAATTATAATCATATATTAAATATGCAGAGCAACAGGAAATATAGAGCATTTCATGTCTTATTTTATGTTTGATACAAAATGTTGTATATTGTGTACACCTTTTTGTAATTTTCTTTGCAATCTCAAAATATTAGCTGGAGGTGGTGAGACGTGCCTTGGATTCCAGCAACTAGGAGGTCGAGGATAGAGCACTAGAAGCTCAGCATCATTCTCTGATAAGTGATGCCTTTGTCTGAAGTCAGCCTGAGCCCCATGAAACTCCACAACAAACAGGCTAACACACAAAGAAAGCTGTCTTAGTAGCAGCAATAGCCTCTACTGTTGCCCAGCACTGTATTATGAACACATCTCAGGTTATACATTCCGTCCTCAGATAATTTAAGGTATAGAGAAACATCATATTTATGTATAACAACATTTGTACATATGTAGTTTCAATTGTGGTCCTCACAATAAGAATTAAAATAAAGTTCTGTATGCTGAATGTTGTTAAGTTCTGTATGTTGTTAAGGAGGACAGTGAAAGTCTTTGCCTAAACAACAAATGCAAACAGAAGAAAACTTCAAGATTACCGAACGTTAAAATATTAAAATTGTATAATTGTAAAATTAAAAAGTTAGAAAATTATATATATATATATATATATGTATATATATGTATAAGTTACATATATGTGTATACAGACACACACACATAATCTTCTGGATGAACTAAACTTTAATCCTTGGTACATAATTGGAAAAAATGAAAGGCAAGAATGCTGAAGAAAGCATAGTGTAGAGTGTGTCCTGCTGCCCTTGTGTAAGGATTGAAGCCTCCTCTCCCCCCTCCCCCCAAAGAATCCTCACACCTACATAGCCTTCTCTAAAGCATGGCTATTCTGCCCCCAGTGGAGAGAGGAGGAGTGCATGAGGAGAGTGGCAAGCTTGTCAGGTGACTCAGCTCAGGTGAAACACAAACAGAGAGGGGGAACAAGTGGAGGTTGACTTAACATTTAGACAGAAAGGGGAATGGGAAATGGGCAGAAGGAAAACAACAAGAATAAATGAAGCAGAAAAGGATGATGCTAAAACAGAGTACTGAGATAGTGAAGTACAACATAGATGATGCTGGATGACATCATTTCAGCTTCAGTTACTGTCACCGGTCCCGATGCTTCCATTCCTTCATAATGAGCTGGTTTTATTAATGGTTTATGATTTTTTCTAGTTCTTCTGGAAACATGAAAGTGATGGCAGCGAAAGGCAATAATCGAACTTACACGTGATCCTCACTATACTCACTTTTGACAGGAACACACACTCACACTTACACACATATATACACACTAATACACACATAAACACACTTATACATACACACATACATACACTTATTAGAATCACATATAAAAGGTAACTGTTCTGCTGAACCATCATTTTAAATTTTGCAACACATTATTTTTTTATTTTTATTTTTTATTTCTTATTTATTTTTTTTACATTTCTTTTTTTTTAATTTTTTCTTAATTAGACTTTATTCATTTTGTATCCCCCCCATAAGACCCTCCCTCCTTTCTGCATGCATGCCACTCCCCAAGTCCACTGATAGGGGAGGTTCTCCTCTAATTTCTGATCTTAGTCTATCAGTTCTCATCAAAAGTGGCTGCATTGTCCTCTACTGTGGCCTGGTAAGGCTGCTCCCCCTCAGGGGGAGGTGATCAAAGAGCAGGCCAATCAGATTATGTCAGAGGCAGTCCCTCTTCCCATTACTATGTAACCCACTTGGACACTGAACTGCCATGGGCTACATCTGTGCAGGGGCTCTAGGTTATCTCCATGAA